GGTGACACATACCCTTAAATTGAGAAATGAGTGAAACAGAAAATTGTGCAGTGGTTTCTTAATTTTTACTAAGGCTGTGTATGCAGCGGTTGAAGTACTGTATGAGTTTGGGGCTATAGGCAAAAATAACAAAGGGGCTCTGCTTGAGTCTGTCTAATTACCTGCGTGTGAAAAGAATGCTGAATAGTGTGAGGTCTCAAAGTTGGAATAGTCCACTAGAGCTTGGATTGGGGAGGGTCAACTTTGTCTATACAAAGTTGGATGTGTGTGGTGGGTGTGAGTGGCGTGTAGCTCAAAGGAGACGACACCCCCACAGAGTGATGTCATTAACCACCAGCATTCATTTGTGCTGCACAGTGAAAGGCTCCATGTGTTTTCGATGACTGTATGTCGTGTTCCATAAGTGGTACATCCCTTGATGTCGAAACAGATTGTATGTAGGATCGACAGCAGCCCTGTCCTCAGCAGCTGTACACACTTGTAGTATTTACCACAAATCAGAGCCCTGGGATAATGATGGATGCTAGAGCCTCCACTGAAATGTCTGTTATCACCCAAATTGTTTATATACATCTTTTTTCTTGTGCCTGACCTTTTTCTTCTGGAACATTCTATTGCTAGATTTGATGATAGATGGAACCGATTCTTCAAGTTAGTGATAAAGTTGCTGGGATTTCATAAGGTGTCTGGTTCTGAATCCATTTCTTAACCAATGAAGTGACATTATGAACCTGTGTCACATGACCTTTGATAGTGAGACCCTCTGTAGTATTACAGCACGTGAACATAAGGCAGTAACTGCTGCAATTAGTCTGTTAATGTTTACAGGTATGATTCAGAGGAATAGATGCTGGCAGTCTGTCATTGTGTGTGTGTGTGTGTGTGTGTGCGTGTGTGTTTCTCCTGCATGGTTACAATAATGTATTTGTCATTTGAGTGGCTCGTACTTTTGCAGGCAGTATTGTTTTCTTATGGCTCCAGGGCTGTGGGTTCTAATGTATTCCACGCTCCACGCTCCACGCTTTCGCCCAGTTTTCTCCCACAGTGTGAATTAGCGGCATCCTGTTTGGCATGTTCGCTGCCTAGTTCCTTGGACAAGATCCAGATCACTGTGCCCTCTGCTACTGGATTCAGCAAACAGCCTTTGAGCACCTACAGAAGTCTGACTCACTGCCACCTGATGGATTCAGAATGAGAGCTATTCTGCGTAAGCCTGGGTAAGTCTCTGGGAAAATGTTAATGTTTCATGCAGAAGGCCGTATTAACTGCGAAGGGCATTTCTTAATGGTCAAAGCTGTGAGATTATGGGTTATGGTTGTATCCTCTCCTAGAATAGTATATTTAAAATCTAATTGGATTTTATTATTAAGTTATGTATTACATAAAAGAATTACATTATTACTTTCTGATATTAAACAAAAGTTGCAGCTTAATATGTGTGGTAATTTTATGCTTATTTTGTTCTCTATATTTCTGACTGCAATTAAAATATTAAAACCCAGCAGGCAATGGCTGATTTGCATTAATGGCATAAAGATAAACTGTGATTTCTGTAAAGGGGGAAAAAAGACCTTCTTGCCTGACATTTGAAGAATGTGTTTTGTTCTCCAATCTAGCATCACTATGAAAATACCTGGGAAGTGAATCACATTCCTGGCAAGAGACGATGACCTCCACCGTCTTTATCGGGGGGGCGGGGGGTGGGGGACGTCCTCCAACGTGTCTGCTGAGTGTCATCCTTCCCAGTTTTTGAACGTCACACTGGTGTCTCTTTGGACCTTGCAGACCCCTGCGGCTGCGAATGTTGAGAATGTTTCATCTGGTTCATTCCTCTCTAAATAATTTTGTATTGAATCGGTCCAACTGTCAAATGTGAAACGATCTCACATATTCACCAGAGAGTGTCAATGGAACTGTACGATGTGTATCCATAGGTACTGCTCTTAGTTAAAGTGATCCAAGCTATTGGCCTGAAATGAAGATTCACATTATATTAATATATAGTCCAATGCATTTTGGATTGTAATGTATGCATGTGTGGTTTCCATGGAAACTTCTCCTGAGGCAGAAAAATCATTTCATATAAAGATATTAATGCTGTATTAGTGAGACCGCTGGCGGTAATGGCTTTGTCCACACTGTGCTGAATTCTATGTTTGGATTGATTACCTAGTATTTTTTATCAACTACAAGCAATTTTACTCATTTTACACACCTGGATATTTACACTCAGCTTCTGAATTGTTATTAAATATTACATTCAATAGTACAATGGCAGAATCCCTGCTGGAACCAGAACCAGCAAGCCATCCTCAGATTATCGGCTCCTGTCCTTAATCATTATTTTAGCTTCTGCTTCAAAGGATCAGGACTTTTCCTGAGTCTATCTTAAGGTTCACACCTCTTAATCTGATCTGCCACCTCTACAAACTGTGACCAAAAAATTCACTGGTTGCTTGTGATAATGGACATGCAGTGTCTCTTGCATGTTACCTTATGGGTGTATTATAATGTCTGCATGGCTGACGGGAGGTGCAAACATTATACTGTTAAAATCTCTTCATATATGTGGTTTTCGAAGGAGGGAAAAATGCCCAGTCTGAGAATAGGACTAGTGATGTTGACGTAATGAGGGAAGCCATTTTTAAAATTATTTTTAAATAGACAAATACTATCCATGAATGTGTAGCATTGATGTGCAGCACTTTAAACACAACTGATATTTGCAAGTTTTTAAACGCATCTTGATTTACAGTAATTGGGAAACTACTGGGGTAAATGGAAAGGATTGTTTAATCTTTACGGTGTAGTTAAAAGGCAGCTTGATTTTCCCCTTTCAGACACAGTTAGCCTGATAATGACCAATCCCGGGCTGCCCCTGCTTGGTGCCAGTCGCTGTCTGTCTCTGTGGGAATCGAGCTCACCAGACTGGCCAAAGAATATCCCATGGTGGCAGGCAGCCAATGAGATGAAAGCTCTCAGCTGTTTCCTGAGAAGACACAGTGTCTGGCCCCACGGTAATAATTACAGGCCCTGTCACCTGACTCGCAGCACCCCTATATTATGTCACATTGGGTCTGGGATGTCTCCGGCAGGACCAGCGGTCCGTCTGTGCCTCCCTGTAGTATCTACCTTCCTTTGCCATGTCCTTCTGACATTTGGTAGCACAGCTGCTGTTTAAGTGAAGCTGTAGATAGAAGAGCCTTTTCTGTCTTCTGTCCTAAAGCAGCAGTGGGCAGTTATTCACCATAAACCACAAATTTAAAGTGATGGTACAGCACACGAGGCTCGACAGGCCTTCGGAGCAGTGCGACAGTGAACACATGGACGTACAGCACACGAGGCTCGACAGGGTTTCGGAGCAGTGCGACAGTGAACACATGGACACACTTCACCTCACGCTGAAGGCATATTTGCTGCATATAAGACACCATGATTTTTTGATCAGCCTAATAAGATGGATTTCATGAAATTAATGAGAAACAAGCATCTTCTCCATACTTGCTAATGAGGTCACCTGGCCAAGACACGGAGAACAACACAAGACCAATGTTCTTGTCTCATCTTTTTGTCAGCCAGCAGAAAGCCTGCATTATTGCAGCAAGTATTGGGAATTATGTTTTTTACAAAACCCTTGCAGTAGAATATTGAATGTCAAACTATGATAAAAGGCCAAATCTACAGAAGAGAACATATTTAATTTAATTAAAACGCTCTTCGGGTCTGAATGGGGATGGTAGTACCCATGTCTAACTATTGCTATCACTGTCTGTAGGCTATGCAGATGGATCTCTTTTATTAGACAGGCTCTGCATCACTTTTTCATTTCAATTTGGACTGGGCAAAGTTTTTGACAACTTGAAAAACTGAAGTCTTACAAGACAAGCTCCCAACAGTAGTTCAGGAATGAAAAATGCACATTCTTCCCTGATACTTAAATGTCTTACTTGGTGAAAAGTCAATAGTGTTTTTGGGACATCAAGTCAAAGTCATTCTAACTTATCAAACCTTGCTTAGTCATGTGGTGATGCAACATTCTCCAAAGCCCACTTTTACAGTATATGGCTCCTGCACTATAGTTATAGTAAGCAAACGGGCTGTCAGTTTTTACAATGAGATCAATCTAGAGTAAATGTGAACTGGCTGGAAATCCAAGTTTTAGGTATCCAGTCAAGTGGTTTCCATTTTGCTGCACAGCTCCTGATGCATGCCCTGAATATTAAACGCTCACCCATTTAGTTGGTGCTTTTGTCCAAAGCAACACCCACGTTTGAGAAGGCAGGGTCACAAGGGCCTCAGTCAAGAAGCACAGCACTTTAGCAGAGGATGGTTTCGATCCATCGGCCTCTGGGTTATGGGCCCAGCAGGCTTCCACTGCGCCACTCTGCTCCATAAAGAAGTTGGCAATCTGAAGAGACAGACTTGACGTGCATCATGAGAGCAAAATGAACGCTTAGCTTGTTACTGTGGTGCCCGAAGAGGTAAATAGCGATTTATCTACTTCACAGGAGGCAACGTTGATACACGATTTTTTTTGTTATTGCATGATGTTTTTTCCTGCTCTCACTGAATGGAAGAGTCGCACTAACCCTTTTATGCCAGGCATGAAAGGTATCTGGGGATACTCTGTGGTGGAAGCCTGCCATGACGATATCAGACGCTCTTCTTGGTTTGGCTCCATGATGGAGAGGCGTAGACGTGCAGAGGACGTCAACTTCATGACAATGTCCTTCTCTTCGGGGCAGGAGCAGGTAAGTATCCCAGTTCAGGACTGACCTGCTGAGACCTGGCCTGCCTACCTCTGTCATGGACTTTGCATAGAGAAGCTGAACGTGGTACCTATTAGTGTTGGAATTGTGTCAAGGCTCTTCACAAAACCAAAACTAAGAAGTCAACATGCGTATGTGTGCAGTTTGGGTAAGGAATTCCTGAAGAATAACCAAGCAGGTTAAGGACCAATGCATAGGGAAGAACACGTACGAGACTGCGTTTGACCAGCAGGTGTGAAAGGCATGGTTGAACTTTTCATTGCCTAGTTTTTCACATTTTAGATTTGACTATTGTGGTCTGCATACAAGAACAGCATTAGCATTCGAGTAAACCTTCAACCTGATGTGGAGAGTCCTGTGTCCTACTTACTGTACCTTGTGACGCTGGCAGCGAACAGGAACAGTTGTGATGTGTGGGTGGGGTGTTTTTCGGTCTCTGTCCTCCATGTCAACCGTGGGAGGAGAGAAGACGAGATTAATAGGGCAGAGGAGAGCGGGCTGTTAGCAAGCCTGGATGTATGGAGCACAGGAGAGTAAAGGCAAGTCAGACAAAGGCAAATGAAAAGAGAGGCAATTATCTCCCTGTCTGGGAATGAAGGCAATTATTTCACTGCCCAAGGCCCCAAATATAACTACAGCTAGTCCTATAAGATTTTATTAGCCACCGCACGTTTTAGCTTTCCAAGCAATGTTTAGTGCTGAAGGCCGGTCTGGTGACCAAAAGTCAGAGGTCAGCCGCAAAATGATTCATAGTTCTGCATCTTCTTAATACCATCCAGAGGATCTCATTATGATCTTCTCCCCTGTCCTGCTACTGTTTACGTGAAACATGATGATCATAGATTCTCATGACTTTCTGTTATGAGAAGATATTTTATAGATGTGATGGATTAAGTCAAGGCCACTATAACCAGTGGACAGTGTTCATTTGTTCATTCATCCTCAGTATTATCTAAAAATCCTTTTATTTTCAATAACTACTAAGTTTAAGGCAAACCATGAACTATATCAACGACCGTGTACTGTATCCATTCATCTATCCTTGCCTTTTCATTACCGTTTATCCAGTGAATGGTTGTAATTGGCCTGGAGCCAATTCCAGGAACTACTGGGCACAAGGCAGGGTACAACCTCCAGGCTGCTAGACCATCACAGGGCACACAGTTGCCTCATGCATGTATTGTATTGCACATGCAGACTTACTTAGAATATACTTATATGGCAGGGCTATTCAAATCACATAGCCCTGATGATTTTTCAGCCGCCTTTACCTGTCAGCCAGGTGTGAAGCCTCAAACCAACCAGAATCCGTAATTATTAAAGTAACAGTCTGGGAGAACTGAAAACAAGGCCTGGATTTGGAATCGAGGGCCAGATTTAAAGTTCCCTGCTATAAGACATTGTTATTATAACATGGAAGTACACTCCATGTAAAGATGGGGTACGCAGGTCAATATCTATATAATTCCTCTTACTCAAGCCTTGAAATTGAGCTGTGTTTGCCATTTGTGCAAGTACTAGAACAAATGCACTGGAATGTGTTTTTTCCAGAGGTGGATAATTCAGATTCAGACCAAGATTTTGCTTTTACCAACCAGTTGAGTACTCTGTCACTGCAACTCTTTAAACTTACCTGGTTGGTTGAAACAAAAGAGTTTTTTCCACATATCCCATCTTGCTCTCCATTTTTAAAGACACACACACGTGACCTTGGAGAACTGAATATGTGTCAGAATCTAAGGACCTGAGACATGAGGATCATCACCTAGAGTCAGACACTTAGTGTTACAAACATTACTTGGGAGAATGGACAATTGAAAGAATAATTTGTATGTTTTATATTGTAAGAATGAACATGTTATGGAGTATATATTTTATTGGACATCCTCTCAATGTTTGTCCTATAGGAAGAGCTGAGAAAATATGAACTGTGTGCAAAAGCTTACATGGGAAGTAAAGCCAGATTGGTCACGTAAGATAGTTAATGCTGCCAGATTTGTATCCACTAACTTGATATGGGCATCCAAGCTTGTGAATCTGACCTGACACTTATAAGGAAGGGTTCACGACGAGATAAGACGGCTACGACCTCTCGCCTTCAGATATCTGGCGAATCGATAAGGTTATTCCTACATGTAAGCATTTTCTGCGATGGTTCATCAGATATAGACGTGGTGGTGTCTTGGCAAAGGGTCCCACGACAGACCTGACAGCTGAGACTGAGCCGTCAAATGGACAGTTGTCCAGAGATTCTCCATGACAGCTCCAGTCCCACAGCTTCTCTCTCCCTGACTGTGATTAATGCAATGACAGTTGTGCGTGTCAACATGGAGTCCAGTTCTGCCAAAGGCAACTGACAGAAATCTACCATCCATGCTTTGTTACTCTCCATTGCCCGTCACCATGGAACTGACCAGCAAAGGAGGAAGTAAACAGAGAGAGAACAGAGATGTTGGTATTGCTACAGATAGGCCATGGTCCATGAATCACGGCTGCACAACATACCCATGGCTATTGGGTGCCAGTCACCATCAGAAATCAATGTCTGATTAAATTAACGCCCCTCGTTTTGTGCGCGAGAGGTCTGAGCTTGGAAGGGTGGGCGGATTTCTCATCTTAAAGAGGTGACACAAATCTTTCGCAAGTGCCACCCATTCGGGGCAGCGAGGACGGAGACGAATTGGCCGTCAAATCGAAAAACTGCCGTGTGAGTGAGCTAGGTAAATACGCGGACGAATTAATAAACGCGCCGTTATAAATGGCGTCATCCTTCATCCTGCCGCGCTGGCCAGCCAGCGACTGAGTGAAGCCGTGGTCCATTAGCACTGTGGTCAGCTGCAGTGACAGATGGAGAACCAGCCCAGTGGTACGTCAGGGTGCCGTTTATAACCCAAATAAAAATGCTGGCATGTTACCGCGTCACAGAGAGAATTCAAACTGCGCTACCATATTCCTAACTCCGCATTAAATCCCAGGAGCATTTAAAGGAATGACATTATAAGTCATATATAAATAATAAAGCTGAATTATCACACATGCAATGTACATGAACACTCATAGTAGCAGAACTGTTAGAGTACTTATGGTTGGTAAGTCTGCGAGTTTGTAGTTTCTGGTGCCATTCTTATTTATAAGGCTTTAAGACTCTCAGAATATCCTACTTATCATTCTAAATTTGCAGCTCGTGAGGTCAGAGACTTCATTGATATTCATTTCCAGCTGACACAGCAATCCCAGCAGATGGGCGTCAGCGGCACACGCATTAAATCCCGTGTCTCTCTGGCCTTTACATGGCTCTATTATTGCTTTGTTTTGTTTTCCATTAGGAACTTCTGACAGAAGTTGGTGGAAAAAACCCAAAGTGATGGCTAATGTGTTGTCCAGCTGGGAAATCTGTGGGCCAAAATTGGTGCATTTGGGCTCTGGGAGCCAAAAACATTCCCAGAGAGTCACACCGAGCGGCTGTAAGCGCTGAAGTGGTGTCCCCCCCCCCTCCACTTTATTCAGTCTCCCCATCATCCTAGATTCCCCATGATCAACCCATACCACTGATTTATAGCATAGAAACTTTATTCAAAATGTTTTAGTGCTAGATTAAACCGGATTTCTACAAATATAGACATATAAAATACATAAAGAATCTTTATAGGGGCTACAATTGACGCCACTCTGCCAGAACCCTGTTAAAGTCCCCATCCTGAGCCCCATAAACAGGGACACATATACATACTAGGAGACACCATTAAAGATTCCCAGATCAAGGAAAAAGAGAATCCTTGTTTGGGGGAAGGCAGGTGTAGGAGTTGGTTGCTCCTCACCCACATGGGGAAGATGAAGGTCTGCTCCTCCATCAGAAGCTGCTCCTTGGGCCAGTGCCTTTCTTCTCCGCCAGAGACAGCTGAGCTGAGACCCACCCCTTGTTTCCGGGCTTTCTGTCTGCAGCGGTGTGGGACCTACCTTCCAGCTCGCACTGATCATTATCAGAGTAGCGTGGGACTGCACTGGAGCCCAGCTCATGAAATATTCAGGGCTGTGTGCTTTGGTAAAACTCTTTATAATCAGAAAGGTGGGGGGAAAAAAGGAAAAAAAAAAAAAAACGGCTCTCCTCCAAGCAAGTTTCAGGGGCTGAACAGTGATAGAGTGCAGTAATTTGTTTTTTTTGTTTTTTTTTTCCGGGGGGGGGGGGGGGGGG